GAGGGGTGCTGATGGGTCGGTGTGCCAGAGAGAGGTTTGTCTTCGGGGTGTGTGGTGCTTCTGTCCCTGAAATTTTGGATGTTGAGAAGAGATTTGGGCATTCACAGATCATCTGGGAACGTGGCATCTGGCATCTAAAGGAAAAAGTAGATGTAATTTTTTTTTTTTTTTCCCCTTGCAAGCCAGGAATTGTAGTGAGTGCAGCTGGGGCTGTAAGGAGAGAAAACAAAGTAGTGGATAATTCTGCTTTTCCTGGAGCAGTCAGATAAAGGGCAGTTGAAAAGAGAGAAGGGAATGAATGCTAGAAGTGTTTTTCATACTATGCAAATATAGGAATGCAAACTAACCCAAGCTGGAATCATCATCAGTGTTTCCAAAACTTAGCCCCTGAAATATCTGAAGAAATGAAAAAGAAAAAACAAAATCCAAGAAGGAATAAGAGGCACTGAAAAAGGCTGTGAATGCTTTAAGGGCAAAAGAATCCCAGTGGGAGATGCCCAGACTGTCAAGGATGTGAAGGGCACTGTGGAGTAGATGAATGTTGGCAGGTGGGGGTGAGGGGTGATTTTTTGGCTGAGCTGTTTCCAGAGCCAGCCTCCCCACACCTGAGACGAGGCCATTTTCTGATTCTCAGTGTCATCAACCACCTCTGCCCTCCCTGAGGGACCCCTGCACAGGGCCACGTCCCCTGGAGGTATTTGCCTCCTCCAGCTCTGTACCAAGACCCAAACTCAGCAACTGAACTCTGGCCTGAGAGACTGAAGTTGGAAATTTTATTATTTTAGAGAAGTATTTGCTTCTGAAGTACAGCAAAGTATTTTTAATTTTTTTTTTTAATTGAATGAGGTGAGATGTATTGTCCATAGCTAAAACTTCAGATTGTTGGTGATGGCATTTATGTCCTGGCTTTCATTCAGATTTTCAGTGAAAAACCAGCATTTTCAGAATATAACCTGCAGAACACCACCTATTCTCCAGTCACTCTCTGAAAAAGAAAGATGCTGCTCATGGTGGGTTTGGGGACTGTATGTGCAGGGCTCATGGCATCCCTGTCTTCAGAAATGTTTCCTTTCAAATCATACTTTATCTTCTTCTGCATCACTTGTTCAAGGACCCTGGCTCTTGATTTCTGTCTGAACATTTGTAGCTGCTAGTACACTCAGACTGGGAGGGTTTTTTTTTTGTTGGTTTTTATTTTATTTTATTTTTATTTTTCAAAACTTCAAAGTAGTTTTCCTTCCAGAGGAGTTCCCTTCAAGCTAAAGAAAAAAGGCTTGACAGAGGCTTCAGGAGCAACTCCCCAGCCTTTGCCAGTGTCAGCTGGCTCTGGAACAGCCCACCTGGCTTTTTCTCCTGGTATTGAATCCTCTAGAAGGTGAAAAACCCCCAACATTGCCTGAACCTGGCAGTGCTCACTTCTGTCTCCTGAGGGACCATGAGTGACAGTTGCCATGTCAACTCCCCTGTACATCCTGTCTCCTCTGTGTCTGCTGAGCCTTCTTTGCCAAGAGCCAATCTTCTGCATTAGTGCCTGTCAAATTCCATGTCCTGAGCCAACAGAGACTGCCTTGGCTTTACTTCACAGCCCTTTGATAGTCATAGGGAATAGCTTGAAGTTTTAGAGTAGAACTTTGTCCTTTCAGCTGAGAACAACATCCTCTGCCCTCCTCAAGCGTTTGCTGTGTGTGCTAGAGCTGCTCCTCTCTGGGTGTCTGGCACATGGAATTAGAAATAATTGCAGCTACAGCAGAGAAGTAATGGTAAACCTGTCAGGTACATTGTATTGAGCTAGAGCTGACTCTTCCTCTGGCTCTGGGGAGTTCTTCCTCACCAGCTGAGGGACACTCAGCTAACCCAGGCTGCTCTCTAGGAAAGGACGTGGTCCATTACATTTTCCAACAAGCTTTTGGCTCCAAGGCCATGCAGCTCCTCCCCAATGTTCCAGTTCACTGTGGATAATTTTGATGTCAGGCTTCACTGCAGAAAGGCTGGTCTAGCATATTTGAAGAAGTAATTTCCAGCTTCTTAGTCAAGTATCAGCACCCTGGTATCCCACACGTGTCCTCCCTTGTTTGTTCCCTCTGTCTGTCTGCAGCATGAGAATCCAATTACTCTGCTCCAAGAAAGCTCTGAGAATAAAAGCTCAAATACTCTTTCAAGGGGATGCAATTCAGTGTCTGGCTGAGACAGTTTGTGCCTAGTGCCTTCCTTCCACATTTTCCCCACAAAGAGGGATTTTTCTTATGGAAAAAAACAAAAGCCATCGAGACTGGTAAATTTACCACATTAAGAGTGGTAAATGTTATGATTTTGCCCAAAAGTCTGCCCTCAGTAAGTGAAAATATTTTGTAAAAGCTGGATTATAGCTGCAATGGCTCTCATATGTCAAGAGGGAGCACACAGTGAATGATGTGAGTGGGATGGAGGAGCACACAGGTGATGCTCGTGTTGCTGTGAGCTGAGCAGATCTTTCTCTCCCCGGGAGCCAAATCTTGGCTCACCTGCACAGAAAGGCATCCTGTACAGTGTGGTTTTGAATGGTTAACACCTGTCTGAAATACAGAACTGCTTTATTTAATGTATTACTGGGGTATTGACTCTGTCATCACAAAATGTGAGTTATTTATTATGATCAAGTCCATGAAATATCCTGGAAAATGCCCATGCCTGTTTGTCCCACGTTTTCTGAGTCACAAAAGCAGGACTAATCATTACAAATTAAGAAGAATGCAGTGTCCCAAGTGCATTAAAGCAAATATGAAAAAAGAAAATGTCACATATTCATGCTATATGAGGAATGTCAAGACCCTTATTTCTAACAATTTTTGAGTGAAATAAAACTTCAGGGGTTGTTCTATAGCTCTTGTTGTTTCTGTTATTTATCAAACTTTTATTTAACATAGAAAAGGGAAAATTATGAAACTCTCTGGGGCAGAGAAATCTTGCAAGAAGCTGCATAGTGCAACAAACACTTGAATTGAATTTTCCTCATTTGGACTTGACAATTTCAGCTGTTGAATTTTCTCCCTTTGAACGAGGCTCAGGCACTGAAACTTCCTGTCTGCTTCCAGCTGCTTTCAGCTGGAAAGGATGGATGGAGTACACCAAGGCAAGAAACCAAAAAATCCACAGTTGGAACACGATGAGATTATCTGCATTAGTAAAAGTTTTAACACATTGTCTTGGGTTCACAGGATTTCTCATCTGCCTTCTTGTGAAGCCTTCACATACCTCATAAATATGAAACATAACAATCTGCAGGGACCTGTGGGGACACTTTCATTCAGTTTTTGAGCTCAATACTCCAGTCATGAAATAATTTTCTTGCATCTTTGTGGGAGCAGACAGGTACAAGCATTTGAATGCGTGTACCCACTGAGCCTATACTAACAGCCTGCAGAGAAAATCTCCATTGCTATTATGATTTGCCTCATCATTAAATTTTGTCCAGTAGCGGAGATGAATCATGTCTTTAGAATTCATTTCCTTAAAATTAGCTTAAATTCAGGTGCAAGTGCAAGCAGCCTTGACCCTGGATGCTTTTACATGCTGTACAATGAGTGTGAATGCTGAATTATCTCACTTCTCTCTGTCAGGCAGGAAAATGTCCCTGGAGGGAAGTACAGGAAAGATTCCATGAACCCACCAAGCTCAGGGACTTGTTCCCAACAGGCCCCTTGGCCTCCATGAGCAAAGGCAATGAACCACGGCAATGACCTATGAAAACACTTGAGATCTGGTGTTTTCATGTTCCCAAGGATCTGAATTTTTATAGTATAGCTCTGATTTCTCTGGCCCTCATCAATATTGATCTGATGAGATCACTTTAGATCTGTTCAGAAGATGGATATGCATCTCAACTGACATTTCAGCAATCTGACATTTCTTTTCAAAAGAGCACTATAAGGAGAATGCTAAATAATCTCACACTATATGTTGACACTACTTGAGAATGTCTCAAGTAGTGTCAACATATAAAAGCCAAAAATCTTCTACAAAGAAACAAAGGGTGGCACAATTCACCTGGATGGCTTGGCAAAAGTACATTTCTCCCTTGCTTTGTCTGTCTGGCTGAGAGGAGCTAGCACCAATGCATGATGAACCCCAAAGCCTGCTTTGAGCAGCTCAGAATGTTTGCAGGTGAATAATAAATGCAGCAAACCAGCATGTGATTGCTGAAGTGTTTGTACCTGCAAGAGAATAAATCTGTTCCACAGGAATATGGGGTGAGAGTCACCCACCTCTGGCACCCAGGACATCTCACTGCTGTTGGGTTCATGCATGAGCAGCCAGTGCTGCTGTGCCCCCTTACCCTCCTGATGCACAGCAGGAAAAAGGCAGGGAACATGGCAAAGGGGCTTGTGGGGGTCATACAGCAAAGGAGCCCGGGATGGAGCCCTGTGTGTTCCTGCAGCCTCTGCCAGGCTGCTGCAGAGGTGCCAGCAGGTGCCTGAGTGCCCCGGGCTCAGCACAGACCCCAGCCCAGCCAGGATGCAGAGAGTGCAGCTGGCCATCCTGGGTGCCCCTGTGCCTGCTGCTCCTATTGTCAGGTTGCATTTCACTTTTCACTCTATTCTCTGCACCACATGAGAGCAGGAAGGGGCTGGGGCCAAGCACGAGGCCCTCAGATGTTCTCTGCTAAAACTCTGGGATGAAGAGAAAGAGAAGTGCCACAAAGTAGTGAAGATGATTCACCCCCATCTAGCAGTTGTGCTGAGTGTCCAGAGAAGAGCAGAGAGCAGACAGGGGAGATCATAGCACATCCACCCTCCATCTGTGCTTTGCTGCCCTCTGGATCTGCACATGTCAGGCTGTGCTGTTGCCCACGTGTGGGTTGTGATACACCTCAGGAAAAACTGGGAAGAGATCTGCCATTGGCTCCTTCCTGTGCAGTGTGTCATCTGGCAGCTGTGTATATCACAGGGAACACAGGGACCATTCTGCTGCTGAGCAAAGCTGCTTCACTGAGTAGTCAGAGATACTTGGAGGGGGAAAAGCAAACTGAAAGACAGCCCTTGATTTTTTGTTTCTGCCAAGCTCTGAAAACTCTCGTGAAACAGAAACGTGATGGATTAAGGACTGTGTAGAGAACCAGTAAAGCAGATTTCCAAGGATAAATTGCAGATGGAAGAAGAACAGTGCCCAAAAGGAATTATTCACTAAGATTTCTTCCTTGGTGCAGAGAGAAAGTGTTTGGGGATCTCTGATATTTCAGCCTCTGAATCAGCATCTCTGAGGGGGACATATGGGACTTAAGAAGGACAGCTGACAGGGAGCCTCTGAGGTGAAGCTGATGTGTCCCCAGCACAGGCAGAAGGACCCATTTATCAACCCTTTTCTCTAGTTTGCAACCATGGGGCGGAGTTTTAAAAGGCAAGTGTGTGTGCTCCCTCCTGCAAACACTGGCTTTAGGAGCTGAACTGGCAGAAGGTGCTGACAAGTGTGGCTGGACCAGGGCTCTGCTGCCCCAGCCATGAGACAGCACACCTGGTTCCCCTTGCAGTACATGCCCAAGCCCTTCTGGAGAGCAGAGAACCACAACACGACCAGCTTCTTCTCTGCACTGTACGGCTTCCCTAACCAGTCCTTCTTCCACAGTGACTTGAATCTGGAGGACCTGGGGGACTTTGATAGCGGAGCCAAGTATGAGGGCGAGTCGCAGAGCCGGACAGTGAAGGCGCTGCTGATTGTCGCCTACTCTGTGATCATCTGCATTTCTCTCTTCGGCAACATCCTGGTGTGCCACGTGGTCATCAAGAACAAGAGGATGCACTCTGCCACCAACCTTTTCATCGTAAATCTGGCTGTTGCTGATGTGATGATCACCACCCTGAACACGCCCTTCACACTGGTGAGCCCCGTCCAGCCGTGCCTGCCGGTGTCTGTGTGTGCCTGTCAGCTGTGTGCACTGGGATTGAAGGGCTGGGACCAGGCTGGGATCCAGACTTACTTTTGCCCCCCTTACTCTTTTGCCTTCTGGAGAGGGTGCAGTCATGGCCTCCATCCCAAACACCCCCTGAGCAAGTGGAGCTGGGGGCTCACGCCCCCTCCTCGCAGTCCTTTGCAGGAGGCACTCTGCCACAGCTTTGCCTCTGCCTGGGCAAGGCACAGATCTGGGAGCCCTTTTTTCCTGTAGACAGGGAAGGAAGGGGGGACAAGTTTGACATGAGAAAATCCAACTAATGGCTGGTTTCCTATGGAAACGACATGAACCAGGTCAGTCCCTGTGCAACACCTCAGGGAAGTGCTCAGGCTGCACTGAACAGTGTCGGTGGTATGTCCCTCCCTTGGACACCACAGAGGGTGCTTCCTGGAGCTAATAGTTCTTTTTTTATTTTCAGTGACTAAAAATATATATGATATAAAAGAACATTAAATTAACAAGGTGGGAAAAATTAAAGATTCATTTCTTGCCCCACTGTCACAGACTATACAAGCCATGTACACAGGACTCTGCTCCTGGATTTAACCCAGTACTCCTGTTCAAAATCCTCCTGCTTCATCCCTGCCCAGAGTGATCTTCAGCCTTCCAAAAGCAGGTCTTGAATTAGCTATTGGAATTCACCCTTATTTAAATTGATGCTGTTTCTTTGGTGGGACTTTCCTGCCTTGCTCTGATGGGATTTGCATCCCGTAATTTGTTCAGGGAGAGCCTGGTGCCCTCTTGTGTGTTCGCACACAAACAGCCACACACTAGGCATGTTTAATTAAATTTCTATCAGCTCTCTCAGGAGCGAGCTTTACACCAGCTCCAGAGATCCAGCACACTGCTCCAGTTCAGTGACAGTCAGTGCTGCAAGAGTCACCCTTAGAGGGAAATTAATTAGCCTAATTGAAAACAGATTAGCTAGTCTTGACTAATTTTCCATGGACAGATGCTTTGTAGTAAATATACTTTACTTCAAATTAGCTTAATATGCAGCAAAATAAGTGACATTAATTTGTGATTAATATTACACAATCAGGAATAACTAGGAAATGAGGCAATTTGGTACATTCTCCTCTGCAGAAAAGCCATAATCAGTAAGACTTCTCTGGGAACAGGTGAGATGGATTCCATGGATTTCTCTCACTAAGTTTGGAGACCATGCAGCTTTCAGCATCCACATGTCCAAAGGTATAATGTTTTCTGGGAGGCACCTAGGTGTGCCCGGCAGAGCCTTGTTGAGGGGCAGAGCTAATATTTCTTTATGTGTTCCAGAAGGGCCATGTAAATGTACAAGTGTACACATACACAACATACACAGAGCACTGCTCAAGCCATTGGTTTGCACAGTGCACTAAATCTCACCTCACTTTGAGACCCTCTTGCACAGACACAGTTTCCCTAGGAAAAAAACGAGGATAAAGCACCTCCAAAGCTTCAGGAAGCTGTATTAAAGCACCTGAGAAGCTAATTTGCTTCTCTTCAGGTATTGCTCCTCTTAATCTGATGTTGTCTGTTCTTCAGGTGAGGTTTGTGAGCAGCACCTGGGTTTTTGGAAAGCTGATGTGTCACATCAGCCGGTTTGTTCAGTACTGCTCTGTCCACGTGTCTGTGCTGACCCTTGCTGCCATTGCACTGGACCGGCACCAGGTATGTTGAAGACACCACTCCTGTGTTTGCTAGAAAATATTGTGCTAAATACATAGTTGTTTCCTCCTCAAATCCCAGTACCAGGAAACCTATACTGTTTTGAGACTCAGGGAGCAGAGGGGAGAACTCCAGCTTTCATGGCAGTGGACAAAACACCCATATTTTTTACAGTGAGGGTGATGAAATACTGCAACAGGCTGTCCAGAGAGGTTGTGGTTAGTGAGAGCCTCTGTCCTTGCAGATACTGAAAACCTCAGATCAGTGCCAGACAGCCTGGTCCAGCCCTGCTCTGCCTGGGCCATTGGGCTCGTGGGCTCCCTGCCCTCCTCAGCCCTGCCTCAGAGCACAGCCCCAAGAGCAGGGTGGGGATGAGTGTTGAATTCAAATATCAGCCAGCCCACACCATCTCTCCATACAGATTTATGAGAGTCTGTCTGTTCTGACACTTGCCCCATACCTTGCCTTAGGCTGGAAACAGTAAGAACTATGTTAACTCATCCAGTTCAAGGTAAGAAATTCTCTCCTCCAGCCAGGAGAACCTTTCAAGTCAAGCAATCAGTACAGACTGAAGGGTTTCCTGAAGTGAAACAGAGTTTGTAAATTGTTCTTTAGCTGATGAGTTCTGAGTGCTGGGAGGCCAGATCTAGCAAGGTGAGCTCTCAGGCAGACTGGATTTCTTGCGGTGCTGGAGTCACTGAAACAGTTGTTACAGAAAAGCAAATTCACCTGATAAATGCCGTGGCTGGATGAACTTCAAAACAAGAACTGGCTCCACCTGGTGTCAGAGAATCGCGGGAACTGCCAGAGCATAAATCAGCCACTTCTGTCCTTTTTACCACAAAGAGTTTGACAGTCTGCCCATTTCATGTGCAATATTACAGCTCCTGAAATTCACAGCGCTTTGACAGTGATTCATTTTAATCAGCAGATTCTGGGTTGATTGCAAGGCATGGCTAGGTATCAAGAAGTGTTTGTTTAATTAAGGGCAAACAATATATGCCCTTAAATTCAGTGGAAAGGGTTCCTCAGGGCTGGAATGAACTAGTATGGCCCAAGGAGATAAAGCCAGAAGTGAGGAGATGTCCTGGACAAAAGAGAAACCAACACTTGCCTCTATAAATATTGCTAATCCTGAGAAATACCACAGATACTCCAGGGGAGCTGTACAGCAGACAGATACTCCAGGGGAGCTGTACTACTTGATTAAGTAGGTATTTATAATGGGACTAGAAATGACATGCACAAAATACCGAAGACCACATAAGCCAAGCGATCATCTGGATGACATGATAGGTCTATTTCTATTTATTAGGTCATTGCCTAAGGTAATCCTCCACAGTGCATATAGCTCAAGAGAGATCTCACTTCCATGGTCTCTGGAGGTCTGCTGATGGGTCACACAGAATGTGTTTCTCTGCTCAGGCTCTGGGCCAGCAGTAACATCCAATACATGCACAACTCCATGCTTTTCCCAGCCCTTGTGCACCCTGAAGTCCTGTAAAGTGAGTCTCTCTGCCTTTTAACACTAAAGAGATGTGGAGCTGCTGCTGCATGCCACATGCAACATGGGGCTCAAAGAGTGACCCAGATGCTGTAAATCCTCAGGAGTTGTTGTTCTCTGCAGGTGATCATGCACCCTCTCAAGCCACGCATGTCCATGGTGAAAGGAGGGATTTGCATCATCATCATCTGGGTTATGGCCAGCTGCTTCTCACTGCCCCACGCCATTTATCAGACTCTGACAAGGTTTTATATTGGGTAAGACATTTATATATTTTTTGTTGTATGATATTTGCAAAGCCCCAGAGTAGCCAAGGCCACACCCCTCCACCCATGTTATTAGAGAAAAAAGGGTGGTGAAAGAGAGAAGTTTTCATTCCCTTCACATGGGTGCTGTGTCTGTCACAAAGGGACAATGACAATTGATGGAATTGCTTCCAGGCTGGTTCATTAGTTGTTTTGGGCTCAGAGGTTCAACCATGTAATTTGGGGCAGGCACAGGGGAGAGGGCGTCCTCGACAGCAGAGGACACAGATGCCAGTTGGATGATTTCTTTCTTTTCCTGGGGATGTGTTTAAGGTAACCTTCATTGGAGCCAAAGGTCAAACCTAGAGTAAAATTTTCCATTGAAAGTGGCACCTTCCTATGACACCAAATGAGTTCTGCTACCTGTACCTGTACTGAAACTTGTCTGAATGTCTGAGCTGGTTGTCCTCAGACATGTGCAGCTGGTAGTGGAATTGAGAGCTCTTTCTCTTTGATCTTCAGAAACAGAACCATCCGAATGGTCTGCCTCCCCAGCTTCCCTCCTCCTGCTGATCTTTTCTGGAAGTACTTGGACCTGACTACGTTTGTTCTCTTGTATGTTCTGCCCTTGCTTGTGATCTCCATCACATACGCCATAGTGGCCAAGAAGCTCTGGCTGAGGAACGCCATTGGGGACCTCACCATGGAGCAATACTATGCCCATCAAAGGAAGAAGAAGATGACGCTGAAGATGCTGATGGTGGTGGTGGTCGTGTTTGCTGTCTGCTGGTTTCCCCTGAACTGCTACGTGGTGCTGATCTCCTGCAGGGCCATCCACAGCAGCAACGCTCTGTACTTTGCTTTTCACTGGTTCGCCATGAGCAGCACCTGCTACAATCCCTTCATCTACTGCTGGCTGAACGAGAGCTTCCGCACGGAGCTGCGGTCCCTGCTGTGCGTGTGCCGCCGCAGGAGCACGGCTCAGGGCCACGCTCTGCAGCCCATCTCTCCCCTGTTCCGGCACGCCAAGGCTGAGAACTGCCCGTGCCAAAGAAGCAGCACACACCAGAAGGCACAGACACCCTCCCAGAGGAACTCTGCAAGGACAGACATATCCAGCGTGCAGCCGATTGTGGCAGAGAGCTGAACCTTTCATCTGACAGCTGGGCAGCATCACACAGGGATTGCAAAATCGTGGGGAAATGGGTTTGGAAAGGCCTCTGGAGACCATCAAATCAACCTTCCACCCACAGCATGCAAACTTCAACCTTTGGGTCATTCAGGGCCTTGTTCTCTCAGGTATCAAAATTCTCTAGGGATGAATTGCCCACTTGTGAGCTCCAGAATGAGGGGTGTTGAGTGAAGTTTTCATTGGAACAGGCAGCAAAAATGAAAAGAATTATTTAACAGCACACAAAGCCTTTCATGGTCTAAGCAAACATGGGGAAGCTACACTGGTTATAAACACACCAGCTACCCACTATGGCTTGATGTAAAGCTGTTAGGGCTTTAACTTCGTGAATTGACATTTCTTTGGCACAAAATCAAAATTATTTTGACTTTCAATAATATTTTTTTTTTTACCAGTCCTCAAGGGCAACAGCAGCAGCAACCTTTAAGCAGCTTTGGAACTGGGCATTCTGCCTTTGTCTGAGATGGAACCAGCAAACTAGACCTGCAGGTTTTCAACCCAAAAGGCAGGAGATTGAAGAAGTTTAACATGTAACATGTAAACAGCCATGTATTCCCTGCTCAATTAAACTGAGCATCTGACAATGTGCCACAGTATTTGCCTCAAGCACAGATCCTCGTGTTCCAGCTACATTGCTGGTGGCAGGGTACCAGCAGTGCTGGTCCTGGTCCAAACAGTGTCTCTGGAATTCAAGAGATAGCTGGGATTCCTGGGGATGTGTGTGCCTGACAGCTGGCACCAGCAGCTGCTGCTCTGGGGGCTCACAGTGGAGCCAGCCACCACATTTCAGAGCTGGGTTTGGGTCACTAGAGAGAGATACCCAGTGGGAGCACATGGCCAACTTCAGCCTATGGCTATGAAAAGCCACCAAAGTTGTGCTTTCCTCTTTCTCAGAAAGAATAACCATTTTCTTTGTGTCCATTCTGCACTGGCTCAGCCCTTTTGTTGGTAAAGGGTTGAGCTTCAAAAGACAGTGAAAAGGAAATGAGCTTCAGTCTTCCCATGCAAAATACTCTAAATTACACTTCTATAGCTGAGCATTTCCACCCAGACTGGCAGCATGTCACAGCTGCAGACCTGCATGAAAGGCTGCTTCAATTTGGAAATCAAGATGCTTTGATGGGTACAAAAATATGTGACCTGAGAATGTATTTGTATTTCAAAAAGAAACTGTGAAGGGGAGGAAAGAGTAAGAATAACACTAATCTTGCTTTTTCCTAAGTTATTGTGGGAAGCAGGAGGACAACTACAGCTGGGACAGGGATCTGGCATGGCTTGGGACACTGCAAATCCCAGTGGCATTGGCAGTACTAAGGCTTCAGGTCTGCGCTCCCATCTGAGGCACAGTGATCTATTTTCCTTCACATCTGCAGGAATTACTTTGCAGACGATATGCTATGGGGAGGAAATGGAATTAGTAACTTCTCAGAGAGCAAATACCCAAGGCTCAGGTATCGGCTCTGACCAGGTGAACCTTTGATTTGGTTCCACTGAAGTGGAGTCCTGTCTGGAGCTGGCACCACAGAGGGAGTACCAAAACCTTTAATTCTGTGTTACAAGTAAATTACAGCATTAACCAGATGTCACTCCTAAGCTGGGTGTTTTACTGTCTGGAAAACTGGGAATCCATGACACCGCAAATGGCATTTCCCTACTATTACTGTCTGGAGGTTTCTATAAACAAGTTGTCTCTTCTTAAAAAAACAAATCAATCACAAATGCAAATAAACAATGTTACTGTAACTTAGTAAAACTTATTCAAATGCTTTCTTTACATAGGAAAAAAATAAATGAGATTAAAGAATGCAGTTTGCATGTATATCCCAACCCACTCCCAGAGAACTGTCGAACTCCTTACTCTAAATAAATCAAAGTCTGTTCTTGCCCCTCATCCTTCAGCAGGACAGCATGCTGGCTCAGCATCCTTCAGCCTTGTGTGAATGGACGGATGGTGCAGGCCAAAGTCAAACCCACAGGCTGCCCATCTGGCCATGGCAGTGGGCAGACATCATCCCTCACCTGGCAAAAGCTCTCCAAGGGACGGTTTGCTCCCAGATGAAAAGCTGACATTGTTTCCTCAGAGCACATCCCATGCTGATTCTTGCACAGCAGTCATTTCCTCAGTAGGAGTGTGCAGTCTGGCAGTGTTGAGCTGCCTTAAAAAACATCGTTTCTTTGAGGTGATTGTTTTTGTAAAAGTCTGGCAAACCTCCTTCTGATTACACACAGCCTCCCACCGGATGCTCTTGCTTTAGTACGCACTCTGTTAAAATATCTGTGTGATTGTAATACAGTGAGATTTGATCCACCAATGTTCTTCGGGGCTAACAGGCAAATAAAATACTGGTTCAGCACCCTCTCTCTCCTCTGGGTTTTGTGTGACTTTCGAGTTATTAAAAGGAGATGATATTCCCTCTTACAAGAGGATTAGCAAAAAAGCATAGACTGCTGCTTGTTGCAGACATAAACCCATGACCAAAACTTTTGTTGCCATGTGTCTTGACTTCTTTCAGCATGAAAAGCCCTTTACACAAAGAAGTGCTGTGGTTACCCAGGTGAGGAGTCAGCCATGGATGTGCCCTGACTGCAAATGCTGTTTCATTGCCATGTGCCTCCCTGCAGCTCACGCAGTCAATGGCTGGTCCCAGCAGCACTTTTTGCCTGGCACATTGGTCCAGGCAGGAGCATGGGATACTTTAAGGTCTCCTTGAATTTAATTGTCATTCTCCAATAAACACTTCCATGAAGAGAAGCACAGCCTGATCAATTCCTTGAGCATTTCTCCCTGGTGCTCCTGCTGGGATGCCCAGCCATCCCCTGGCTCCCTTCCCCTTGCTGGGGAACTCGTGCTCTCCCTCACATGACTGCAAGCAAACAGGGCAGGAACCGTGCACAGCAAGTCTGCTACAGCTCTGCCACACATGAAAATTGGTCATCACAGTCAGATTTGTTTGGAAGGGGCTGCTCAGTATCAACGTGTACACTATGATTGTGCCAGACCAGGCTCGCTGGGAAGGCTGCAAATAGGGCAGCAAGAGCTCAGGCAGGTAACTGGTCACAGAGGATGATACATCAATTTCCAGCTACACATCTACTGAAAACCAGCAATATGCCAAATACAGAGCCCTGCAGCCACATTAAAATAACCTTTTAGCATTCAAAGTGTTAAAATCAGGTGACTACACCAAAAGAAGAGAATATTTTATTGCCCGCCCTGAAGAGCTGTTTCTTATCTCCCCTTTTGAAGAAACTTTCCAAGCAGAATAATGAACCTGCAGCTGTGAATCATTTAACCAGCCCTGATGAGTTTTGTGCAGCTCCACAGAGGGGTCACAGGCTTTTTGAGTCACTTCTGAGTGATTAAAATGAAAGCTGTTAAATGGGTTCATTCAACATTGCCCAAAGCACTGTGGCACCCTCCAAATCCAGACCAAATGGCTTTAGTTTGAAAAACAGAGACATGTAGGGATAGGAATGTGCAAGTCAGAGGAATGGGAAAGACATCCCTCCATGGGGGTTCCTCTTTGGCTTTAACTGTGCTAAGAAGACACCTGAGAGTCTTCTCATAGGGTGCTCTATCCCCCAAAACACAGTGTTGAACAGACCAGAGGGGTCACCCGAGCTGATACTCAGTTTGGGATTGTTGCTATTGTCAAAGAGCCCAGTGCTCATTGCACAGGAATTAAGCTTGCCAGTGAAGTAATTATTAGCTAACTGAATAACTATTAAGCTGGTAAAACCAAGTTACTCGGTCTGACACTTTACTGCTGCTGTGGACTTTGATAATTTAAAAAATTTTTTATCCCTGACTCAGGTACAGGAATTGCTTCTTCTTGATGTTTTTTTCCATACAAGGGAAGTGTTAACTCACACAGTGCAATTGTTTGCACAGAGACTGGTACCTCAGGTGAAGAAGAATGGGCCTGGTCTCCTACACATCAGAATGAGAAGCCACTCTTTTTTCTTTCACAGGAGGACAAAATTCAGCTTTTTCAGGTGGAAAATCCTCTTCTGTGGCATCTGCACTGACCCTTAAATGATCCTGAATTTATTTATATTTTTAATATTCCTCTGTCACTATGCAGACAAGAGTAAGTGGGGTTTGTCTTGACATTCAGCTCACAGAAACCTGATGTAAAGTGCCTCCCAGGATGTGTGTGGGCAAGGGGCTGGGCATGGGTGGCTGCCACAAAGAGGTGGGAGAGAGCCTTCAAGCACAGGGACACTGCAGGAGCAGGATGGAGCCCGGAGGGCTGGCTGGCAGTGTTCGGGAAGGCTGAGGACCTGGGGGGTGAACCCGAGGGGTGGCTGTGTCCTGTCCCATCTCTCACCCACTGTAAATCCAAAGGCCAGGAAGAGCAGAGTGTTTTTTCAGCTGGAATGTGTGACATTGAAGTCCTGTCATTGCTGAAGGCTTTATGACTCTTTATAAGACCTGCATTGCCAACAGGGCTTTATACAGGTACTTTATACACCTGCCCTGGCTCAGCTGTTTCCCCTCTGCCAGTGAAATGCAGGAATTGGTGTCACCAGTGGTTTCTTTATTCCTGGAGGTTTGCTTCGCTATGTTCCAGAACGTGAGGTGGGAGCCAACTTCTCCCAGGAGAAAGTGCCCCCACCTCTGAAGCTCAAACACCGTAACCGGGATGTATCTGCGGGTTTTCCCCGGCAGATCCCAGCTCGCTCGGCTGCTCCTGCGCCAAAGGAAGTTTTGAGTCCAATGAGCAGGAAAATTCGCACGGCTCTCATGGCCACAGGCGGTCCCGGGAGCCCAGGGCTGAGGGGCCGCTATCTAATGACCGGTGCCACCGGGAAGGGCCACAGCAGCGTCCTTAAATGGAGAAAACGACCCGGGAGAGCGGGAACGGCGGGAGCCGGGAGAGGGCACCGGGAGATCGGGAACGGCGGCGGGAGCCGGGAGAGGGCACCGGGAGATCGGGAACGGCGGCGGGAGCCGGCAGAGGGCACCGGGAGATCGGGAACGGCGGCGGGAGCCGGGAGAGGGCACCGGGAGATCGGGAACGGCGGCGGGGGCCAGCAGGGAGCGCTGTGGCACCGCCCCGCCTCAGGGCGGCCACACGGTGCCGCAGCTCCCCCTGGCGGCCCGCGGTTCCCCCCCCCCCCCCCCCCCCCCTGCCGTGCCCTGAGGGCCCTGAGGCGGAAAAGGCCCCGGGAACACCGGGACCGGGGCGGGGAGGGCCCATAAGGGGTGCCCGTGACCTGGGGTGGGACCACGAGGGTGCCCGTGACCCGGGGTGGGCCCGCGAGGGGTGCCCGTGACCCGGGTGGGCCGCCGCTCAC